AAGCTCGCATTTATCCACAAGCACCAGATACTCACAAAAGCCTACCAGATATCCATACCCTATTATGCATTACTTAACCTGACTTTGGTGGATGAGAAGGTATTCCTTGGGAGAAGTGCACCACTTCCCAATAACACGTGGTGTGATAGGCCAATTAAAATTGAGTGATTTCAAAATGTAAGCGCCAAATAGGATGAAATGCATAGCAAGCAATGCAATTGGTCAATCACACCAGATCAGCTGTGTGACCAGCACATATAATACTTCTTCCTGATGGATAGGCCCACATTGTGAACCTCGATAACCTACAGCACCCATTGCAACTCAAACAATCGCATGTCTACTAACCACAGGAATTTCAGCAGTATCTCTAGCAAAAGAACTCAGACCATTTGCCACAAATGGCTCAATGAGGTTCATAACTTCATACCATACGATATATTACATGGAACTGTTAAACAATAACTATCTCGACCGTCTGGTATTATTCGTATGCATCACTTGAAGAAACCCACTTCATTGAAGATTTTACCATTATATGCTCAAACATCAGAGAAAGATCTCTCGTTACATACTATATGGTACTCATTACATGGAAAGAAAGTCTTATAATGATAAAATTAATAATAATAATGTATGACAGATTACAAAGGAAAAGGGGAAAACACAAAGTGGTACGAAAGAATTTACAAACAGTTCACTCACCTGCCCATCTTTTATCCGTGTAAGCATATCTTTGACTGTGTCATTCACTTGTTGAACCTACAAAAGTTATCCATTTGATTTGTTAGAAATAAGAAACAAGGAATACTATAGGGTACATTCAAAACTTAGAGCCAAGAACAAGTAGGTTTCCTTTTTGTCCCCTTAAAAAAAATTCAACCAATAATAAATTTATTGGAAACTAATCTACCAACTAAAATTCAATAAACATACGACTTCAACCATAAACTTATGAAGACAACTGATGCTAATAGTAATGGCAGAAGTCATGAGAGTATTCGACGCGGCAAACCAAATAAGGCAAGCCACCGAACTGTCTAATGTTAGACCATATAACATCCAAGACACACTGATTCTTCCTTTAGCACTTTATAATACATCTCCAACAAAGAAAAGTCACATAGGACTTAAAAACCCACCAACAAATGCTTACAAATTTACAATCTGGGAAAGTAGAAGGTTAAACATGAAGAAACATCCTTACCAAAAAAAAAAACCATGAAGAAACAGGGTGCAGCTCAAACAGTATATTCCATGTTAGAACCTAAAAGAAAATACTTTATAGCTCTCAAGTAAATCTCAAGCCCATTTAATTTGTTCGTATGCTTCACACATTATTTTAGTCTATAAATATTAAATAGGCCATGCATTAAAAAAAATTAAAAAGAAACCAACATCGCCAAGAGCAAGGATGGCAGCTGATTGGCGAACGAAAACAAAATGCTAATGAATTATTTGTTGGAAGAACATACATCTCAAAAGGCTAAATTGGTAGAAAAGATCATGCTAAAATGAATACCCTAAGTTGTAAGATATTTAAAGATTCAATACAAGTGTTACTGTGTTTCTCCACTAAAAATTTGGCAATGTAAATTTTAGCGCTCCATATTTCTAGTGTACCATGATATATTAACTGTGTTGCGAATTACAAATGTGCAAAGGATGAGTAGTACATCATAGATTCTCCAGGTAAAACTATGGACACAGAAAAGCAATAGCTAACAAGAAAGGAAAGGCTACACTGAGTTACTTGAAAGTCCAACATGGACGGAAGGCAGAGCAATGTGCAGAGAAATCCTAATGACTCGAAAATGGGGGAAATTTTTTCTATCTCAGATGCTTTCAGTAAAAGTCAATGCCAAAGGTAATGTGTAAGTAGCAGCAAATACGAAACAACATATTTTCTCTAGTGCTTCCTTCTTCGTTTCGGGATACTCCAGATAAATTTCTTCTTCATTCTGCAATAAACCTTTACAGCAATTAGCAGAATGTTTAGTTCGATTCTTCCAACTTTACAGTCAGTAAGTTTCAGTAGCATCCAAACAACTATGATGCGGCACATCTGCATCTACATATCTGCAGTCAGAACATTTTATAGATAAAAAACGAATATCTATAAAATCCGATGCATACTTCACGTGTTCCACGAAACTCAAGAAAAAAGGATTAAATAAGAAAGAATTATTTACGCTCTTACAAATTGGAGGAATATAGATCAGAGGATCTAATCAATTCCATAAGTATCACACCATAAGTTAACCTAAAGGAAGAAAGCTTTTGAACAGAAGATACAAAACCAGAAAATTCATCAACAAAATAGCATAGTTGCTTACCTTTCTAGATATTTGTTTGCCCATCTCGACCCATTTATTCTTCCCTGCTTGTGCACAACCTATTTTGAAAACTGAGGGGTCAAGCCTTTTCTGCATCCACAAATTACCTCGGCGTTAATCCATCCATTCTTAGATATTCTTACATAGAACTTGAAAAGGGAAATCTTTTAGAAAACAGCTTGAGATGCTATACACACAACCCCAGGATGAAATCCACTTTTAACCCCCCAGAAAGCAAACTTGCTAAGAAAGACTCGCTCACCGGGCACAACATTCAACAGCCTCGCCAAAACCAATCGGATCGAAAGTCGCGGTACTAACCTGAAGTTCCTCTCGAGGGATACCCACTGGCGGTACAGCCAAAAACAGCTGCACTTCAGGTGATCCGGCATCCGCATACGTCTTTCCTTCCTCTGTAAGCACCCACGTTTCCCTCTTGATGTCCTGCACGTCCAGTCCTCACCATCAACAGCCTTATCTCGGTATCAATAGGATCGCATGCTAAAAAGGCGTAACAGATGGAAAAGAAGCGAAAACACGAACACGGAACTAAGACAAATTGTAGGTTCACTAAGATTATCGGCATCCACACTCCAATATACCCATATCAACACCAATCCCGCCACGTCCAACCCCACGATCAAGACTCTCGTGGTGTAGCACGAGCAACGGAACTGACATGCATTGCCCGCACACATGCCCTTTAACACTCACTCCAAACAAAAAACCGCAGGGAAAGAACACCCGGTCGACGCGCATGCGCGCACGGCAACCGGCAGAAAAGCAGAGGCGGGCACTGGGACGGCGAAAAATGAACCGAGGGGCGAGGGTGGCGGACGACCTGAGCGTCGACGTATCCGAAGCCGCGGAGGCTCTTGATGACGTTCACTACCTCCTTATGGTCGAGCCCGCGCCCCGCCGCGAACTCGCCGGAGTGGGCGATCTCGTCGTGGTGCTCCAAGAACTCGAGGATCGCTTCTTCCGCCATTTCTCTCTTCCGGTGGAGTCCCTGACTGTTGGCGTTTGATTCCTTACCATTATCATAACGTTCGAATCTTGACTATTAGCGTAGAGATAAAGAAAGTAGGGGAAAAGTGTCAAAGTCATAAAGTTACTGAATTTGTGCTAATTTAGTCATAAATCATTTTTTTGATGTCAATTTAACCCCAACCTTTTAATATAGTGTCAATGGGTTAATTCCAAAAAAAATTATAAACTTTAGGTCGAGTCACAATTCTGACCCTAATTTTTTTTATCATAAAAAATCATCAACTTTCACCCTTATCCCAAATCTAATCATCCGTTTACTCTTTGTCTGAAATCACCTTTATTTTAGAAAAAAGGTTATGGTCATGAGCTTGGTGGATCTTGTGACGAGCAATGATCTACAGTTTTAGATTACGACAAAACGATAAAGTATGGTTTGAGAGATTCAATCAAGAGATCTTTCTGACTTGTCGGTGAAGTGAAGGAGATGAACAGTTTCATCGTTATTCTTCAGATTGTGGCTCGGAGAAGAAGACAATAAATAGTATTTTAAATCCAGTAAGCAAGGCGCATGGATTTATTACTGAGGTGGAATAATCAAGTTGGATAATTAATGATTTTAAGTCAAGGAGGGCCAGATTTGGGATTTAATTGAAAATTAGTGATTTTTTATGAGATAAAAAAAAAGTTAGGGCCAGAATTATTAGTCGACCTAAAGTTTGTGCTTTTTACAAGACAAAAAAAAGTTGAGGCCAAAATTATCACTCTATCTAAAGTTGGTGATTTTTTTTGGAATTAGGCCAGTGTCAATTCAGTTTTTCCGGCTAATTTTGCTGAATTTTAATGACATGAACTCTGGCCAACTTACGTGGCACCGCCAACGCATGACATTGACAATTTTTTATTTTGTTTTATTATTTTTTTCTTTCTTCCTCCCTTAGCTGGTGACCGGCCATTAGCCACAGGTAGAGGTGTCAAAATGGGCCTTAAACCCACATGCTCGTGGCCCACCCCCGGCCATTTGAGATTTAATTGAAAATTGGCGATTTTTATGAGAAAAAAAAGTTGGGGCCATAATTATTATTCGACCTAAAATTTATGCTTTTTACGAGACAAAAAAGTTAAGACCAAAATTGCCACTCAATTTAAAGTTTATGCTTTTTTTGGAATTAGGCCAGTGTCAATTCAATTCTTTCAGCTAATTTTGGCTGAATTTTAATGCGTGAACTCCGCTAACTTAGCGTGATCGCCGACGCATGCAGCATTGACTTTTTAATAATATTTTTTATTTATTTTTTATTTTTTATTTTGTTCTATTATTTTCTTTCTTTCTTCCTCCCTTAGCTAGTGACTGGCCATTGGCCACAGGCGACGGACGGATAGGCTAGCCTCACCTGAGCGAGGGTTGCCGTCAATCAGCCAGGCGAGGGGACCCCCGGCGAGGGCTCCCCTGGCGAGGGCTCCCCCGGCAAGCCCTCGCCCAGGCCAGAGCAGTCTCACTGGGCGTCGCCTCGACTGCCGGGCTTGAGCTTGGAGCCTGGGCCTGGGCTCGGGCTCCGTCCAAATCCACAAGATAGTCAACGAGAGGAACCCGTTGACTTGTCCTCCTCCTCCGAGCAATGGCATTCTCGTTATTTTCCCAACTCGCGAGGTCTCTTTTGCTCTTCGTGGCGCTGAGAAACTTCAAGCCGCGACAGAAAACCATTCGGTAGGGGAAGGAGATCCGACCGCGCAAGGCCGCCGGAAGGGACGATGGCGCCACCACCCCCGTCGGCGACGGCGACGGCGACCCGGTGGCGCGCGGCCACGGCGCTCCTCGTGCTCTCCCTCCTCGCCGCCCCATCGTCGGCCATCTACTGCGACGAGGACGACTGTTACGATCTCCTGGGGTCAGCTCACCTCCGCTCCTCTCTCTGCTCAGCGCTCGCCCGTTTCGCCATGAACTCGTGTGGATTTCATCGTTGTTTTGTTGTGATTTCGCAGGGTCTCGCAGAGTGCGAACGCTTCCGAGATCAAGAGGGCTTACTACAAACTCTCCTTGAAACAGTACGTTCCGCCGCCCGTGCGTTCCTGGGTTCGGTTCCCTTTTTCCTTTCGCGTGCGATGATGGGTTTTCGCGTGATTCGTTTCTGATTCCGATGCCGTGAATGTTGCAGCCATCCTGATAAGAACCCCGATCCGGAGTCGAGGAAGGTGTTCGTGAAGATAGCCAATGCTTACGAGGTTTGTACTAGCATTGTGGGGGGCTCTTTGCTTTTTTAGCTCGATCGCAATAATTGTTGGTCGGTGGAGTTTTCGCTTCCCATGGTCAATGCCAGCTTGTTTTGAATCGAGTCGTTTGAATTTTGCGACTTGCGAAAGTGTGATGCGATTTTGATGCGGCGAAGTTTGTGCGGATCGTGCACGAGTGATCTGGGTTTCGAGATTTTGACGGCTCTGTGAATTGTATGCTGTGAGGCATCAGCCAACTAATGTGGTTTCTGCTCTTACTTAGCTGGGTTTCGTGTGCGTGGCTTAAATGTGATTGTGAAATTGCAGATTTTGAAAGATGAGGCGACTCGCGGGCAATATGATTATGCTATTGCGCATCCAGAGGAGGTACTCTTAACCTCTTTTGTGCAACTCGAAATGTATCAAATGGGTTTTCTTTACTTCGATCCTGTCAATTGTTTTCAAATTGAATGAGCATTTGACTTGTTATCCAGCTGAAGACAAATCATTTATGATTTTGATGCACATCCTAGAGCTGAATACATTGCTTACTGAGTGTCTGTGTTAGTTTAAGGACAAAGCGACATCATGATCCTGCAAGACTAACTTCACTTCGAAAGACAATTGACATAGGCAGCACCCTAGATTCTTGTTTGGAAAATAATGTGGCTCAGCAAATCGTTGCGTTGATTCATAGGAAGTGTGATGGTTGAAGCATGGAGCCCTAGGATCATCATGGAGCAAAATGCTTTGGTTACTGTGTCATCAATGTGTATTTTGATTCCCAACACCATTTATGATTTGTTGCATATCCAGTTGGTCTAATCCATGTATGTTTAAAACTTATGCGTCATACTCCTATGCGAATTAAGTCTTCTCTCTTCTCCATTCTCTTAGAGTAGGAATATGGCCTGCAAGGATGCAATGTCTATCACATTTACTAAAAAATTAAGGGTGCCAACTAAAGTCCTCTGGCAATAAGAAGCATATGTGCAATCATTTGTCATTGCGATGAGTACTTACTATTGTTACACCATTCAGGTATTCTACAATACAGCAAGATACTATCAGGCATATTATGGTCATAAAACAGTAAGACCTTGTCATCTTTCAATGGCACATTGCTCCTATTGTTGGACTTTCTTTCTCTAGCATTTTTTTCATTTTAACAACTGACGGTTCACTTGTCAGGATCCTCGTGCTGTCCTTGTCGGCCTCCTTTTTATTCTTTCAGGATTTCAATATTTGAACCAGTGTACAACGTACAACCAGGTACTCTCATATGTTAAGTCCCTGTCGTTCTCAGTGTCACATTAAATAATGATCCTTGCTGTGAATATTAATGCTGTTTTGCTGCTCCCCACTTTCCATATGCACTATAGTTGAGAGTTTGCTAAATAGTATATTTTCTTTGTCGTGCTCTCAAATCGAAATGAGCATGCTTTATATGAACACTAATTTAGATAACTTTCAAGTTTGTATTTTCTGGTATAATTGATAATTTTTATGCCTCAAATGATACTTATCAAAAAATCACATCTTTTTTATGTCGCAGGCTGTAGCCATGGTAAAAAAGACTCCAGCATACAAAAACAGACTTCGAGCTTTGGAACTGGAACGTAGTGGAGGAGTGACAAATAAGAAAAAGAATCAGAAACAAATGGACAAGTATGCAGTCTTGTGTTTGGACTGGAGAATAGCTTCCTAATTGGTTACCTGTTAGTTAACTTTGCTTGTGGACCAGAATTCAGTGACTTGGTGACAAATGTTGACTGAAACAGAGTAAATTGAACACGAGAGTCGCTCCTAATTTAAATGAATGGCAGACCTTAGGGCGAAGTAGTGACTCCTTGCTTCTTTTTTACCTTTTTTTCTTTGGTTTATAATTTACCCCCAGTTTAATTTTTTTTTAAATAAAAATCAGCATTATTTTCTTGTCAAATATTGAGTTTTTGATGCATCAGTTGGAGACTTAGTTGTTTTGCAACAACAGTATAGCGCTTCGATTAATGATGTATAACTCCTAATTTTCTGCAATACTGCCATAAGCATTTGATGCAGCATTTATCAAGAAAATGTTAAATTGCTTTTTAGTATCTTTCTCTTGGAGTTAACTGCAGGTTCTTATTATCAAGTCATGGTTCTTCTTTCGTGATTGAGGTAAAAGAGTGTCATGTGTTATTGCAGAAAAGTGGAGGAAGAACTCAGCAAAGAACTTGAATTAGAAATAAAGGGGACTGAGAAACCCTCTTTGTGGAACCTTCTCGGAGTGCGTTTCATACTCCTACCTTACACAATTGTCAAGGTAAAGACTTCTATTTTATCAACTAACGGATACATCTAATATGCCGTTCTAATGGTTCACAACTTATCCTTCTCATCTTGTGACTCTCGGTTTTTAGCGTGTGCACAATTGAATAGACTAATTTGGTTCTTTTCCTCAGCTATTAGTGTGGTATGGATGTTGGTTTTGGAGGTACAAGGTGAAACGGGCTCCATATTCTTGGGAAGATGCTGCTTACCTCACACAGAGAGCACTTAGCGTTCCCGTTGATGCCTGGAGCAATATAGGTAAATATTTCATGGCCCGTTTTTCTCTTTTTTTGCCAAAAGAAGCCCTTAGAAGGTGCAATGATGCTTGCTTAAAAACTAAAGGTTGGCAGATCATCAGTTGAATTCTTTACCATAGTTGGATTAGATGATAGATTGCCGATGTTAAATGTATGGTCTAAAATGTTTGGTAAGAATTACTTTATGAATGTTCAGATCAGATATTGGGTAGTAGGCTTACTCGACAAGTTTTTTTCCTTCGCTTTATTGGTGGATGGGTTGGTATAATGGAACATAATCATAAAGTAAACGCTGAACAGAGTCAATACTGATATTTTGCCGAAAATATAAGAATCTCATACTAAAAATTTTCGTACTGACTTGATTACGGTGCATGTTATCCAGATGAATTGACCAAAGAAGATCTGATCAAAAGACGTCTATGGAACAAGTCGAACTTGGATAGCTACTTCACAGAGATGAGAAAAGGATACAAGCGCAGAAGATAGCGGAATTTTTTTGGTTCCCATATGAGCGATGACTCGGTTTAGAAAAGATTGACAAATAGAAACCCAGTTAAACCGCAGTTGTTACCTTGAAATTGCAGGATCTGCCAAGGCAGAATTCCTCTTTTCTTATGACAAACTGCGCGAGTTATTACAATCTTTGATGGATATTAGGAACAAAGATAATTTATATGTATCGAGGGTTATTTTGCTTGTATTTGGTGTACATCCATAGCTTGAGTTTGCAGTTTCTATGAGAAAGTTCAAGCTGCCTCGGTGGTTCTTGTGTTCGGGGAAGAAGGGGTTTGAGAATGGTGAATGACGTGTAGTTCGTTTATAATATTGCTATATGAGAATTTACTTGTCGAGTTTTTTATAATCACTAAATACAGTGGCAAGAATGACAAATATTGAGAAATAATATTAAAATTAACAATTTTTGAAAGGTTCTAATTAAATTTGTATAGGTTGCACGCATGCCTTCAATTTTTATTTTATTTTTTTGTGTTGGTCAGAACACATGCCTTCAATTGGGCAAAAAATAAAGAAGGCTAAAACAGACGCGTCCCATTCGAGATGTCCACTTGATTCAAGCTTGTATAATAATGAGATAATAACAAAAATGGTCTCCGAACTTTGATTCAACGTGCAATGTGATCTCTGAACTTTTAATTTATTCACTGCAGTCTTTGAATTATTGTCACATATTCAATTTAGTTTCTAAGCTATATGAAAATTTTCAATGTTATCCTTCAATTAATTCAAATTCAGAGACAACATTGAACATTTATATATAGTTCAAGAATTAAATTGAATATATACCCAAAAGTCTATGGATCACATAGAACAAACTAAATGTTCGGGGATCACATTGCATGTTAACTAAAGTTCAGGAGCCACAAAATAAATTAAAAGTTCAGGAAAAAAATTGCATATTAGGCAAAGTTCATGGACCATTTGTGTCATTTTCCCTATAATAATCAAATAATCTTAATAAAAGGTTCAACATTTTCTGCTTTTGTGCATGAATTAAATAAAAAAAATTTAAAAACTGTTATCTCTTTACTTTTCCTTCTCAATTGAACTAAAATTAATGATTTATTCAAATTTTTGGGGGAAAATCTTATTGAATTATTTTTATCAAAATAATAATTACTTTTTTCTACGTTAGCTTTATTCATACTAATTAAGGTTCATATGTTTAGTTTTTCAGAATAGGAACAATTCCTGTTTCCCTTACATAACATTAAAGAAAAAAATTAAGTCGTGACCTGTGTCCGGGAATTAGCAAACTACGTTTCTATTATCTGCTTTAGATTTTTTTTCCCTTATTTTCGCATTTTTTTATTAAAATTCAAATTTGATAAACAATGGCATTTAAAACCTTTGAAAACAAAAATAAAGTAACGGCCTGTAAACTCATCTTTAAGTTTTTAAAGCTTAATTTTTTTAGTTTGGAAATTTTGGAAAAGGATAATAAATAGTTTGCGCCATTGTACTCCATACTATTTCATGTCATGTAGGATATTGAACATATTGGAAAAGTAACATACTAGATACCCGATTTACATAAGTTTGTACACATTTCTTTGAAGAAAGCAAGAGGGTGGATTACCAAAGAAAATAATATTGAGTTATCAGATAGGCTTGATTTTTTTTTTTTTCAAACATTACCATATGTGCAAGATAGCAAAAAGCAGCGTCAAACAAAGAAATTTCCTGCGCAAAAAATTGAAAAAATCCATAAATTATTCTCGTTGCTCCAAAATATATATAGCATTGTAATATAGGCTTAAAGATTGGGATTACCATTTGTCCAAAATCACGAAACTAAGAGAGTTTGAGGTGCTCTCATCTCTCTTTACAATTCCTAATTTGTACTCACCTAGGTATAGATGCAATAATCAAGAGACGCGACGCTTGAAATCAATTCATGTCTGGTCAATATGTTGGTATTTTGTCTTGTCATAGCAACATTTAAGCTTCGTTTGTTTCACAGAAAATGTGAAATTTCTGAAAAATGTTTTCCAGAAAGTCACTTTCTAGGAAAATGACAATATTTTCCAGTGTTCGGCTAAAATGTAAAAAAAACCCGTAAAATATTTTCCAAAAAAGCACATATAAGAGTTGTGTCCTTTCAAATCACAATATGACCATTCCATTCAAATAGTGTGTTTTTATTGTTTGAGTGGATAGGCACGTGAGATACAAAACACTTTCATTCACACTATTAGTATATATACTTTTGCAAAATAAGAACATTTACGGTTTTCCATTTGAATTTTTTTAGCAAAACAATATTATTTTTTTATTTATAAATTTGTTGATACATATCTTTTACATTGTTGTCAACATATAAATCATAAAAATTACATACAATATTTTTTCCAATTTTAAACCAATTAAAATTAAAAAACTTAAATTGATCATCTCAATGGACTTCTCAAATGTGTTTCCACCAAATGACATTTTTCTCAAAGTTGTTTTTTAAAGCTCGGTTTACTAAACAGTATTTGCTTTTCATGAAAACCCTTTAGGCTAAAGTCATTTGCATTTCTCTAAAGTCTCTTAGAAAAGTTGAACCAAACATAGCCTAAGTCATGCCTGTGTGAATGAATTAGCAAACTATGTTTTCATATAATTTGCTAAGATTTTTTCCCTTCCTTTTGCATTTTTTATTAAATCCAAATTCAATAAACAATCTCATTTGAAATCTTTCAAAGCATAAAAATAATGCCAATGTAAATTCATCCTTAAGTTTTCAAAGCTCAACTTTCTTTAGTTTGAAAATGTTGGAAAAAAAGTGATAAATTGTTTACGCCATTATTCTCCATATTATTTCCAACCATATAGGATATGAACTTATAAAAAATGAAAATTTTGGGAAAAAAGCAATAAATTGTTTACGCCATTATTCACCGTATTATTTCAAATCATATAGGATGTGAACATATATAGAAAAAGCAACATATAAAATATACAATTTACATATGATTGTATATCTTTTATAAGTTTGTATGCTTTACTCCGAAGAAAGCACGAGAATTGACTATAAAAGAAAATAATGTTGAGTTATTAGTTGTGCTTAATTTTATTAATATGAATTATATGCATATGTGTATAGTACATTTTTTTGGAAAAATTATTTTGATAGGTAGTTCTCCTCTCATCGCATAAAAAATTTTTTAATTTCTAATTACTAGATAGAGCTTATATGTGCAGGATAGAAAAAAGGAGCATCAAACAAAGAAATTTCCTATGCATCAAATAAATACAATAGGTAAATTATTCTCGTTTTTCCATAATACAAAAAAAATTATAACGTTAGTAGACACATACATTTCCGTGAAGACTTGTTTTTAACTAACGAATATTGAGAGAGGCATGTAATAGGAGTATATTATAAATATAAATATGTGCATGGAAAAATATATGACTTAGAAATTTGGCATAGTTTAGACAAAAAAAATCAATATAGGCTTGAAAATTATGATTACTTTTTTTAAAAAAAAACTTGAAATTAAAAGAGTTTAAAGGTGTTTCCGTCTCTTTTTACATGTCCTAATTTGTCCTCACCTATATGTAGATGCAATAACCAAAAGATGCTGCGTTCGAAATTAACTCGTGTCTGGTCTATATATTGGTATTTAGAGTAACATTTATTAGTGAAGTATATGTCTATTTCATATAAAAGTTGTGTCGTTTCAAATTTGGATAATGACATAAATAATCTTTAAACTTTGGCCCATTGTGCAATGTAGTCCCTAAACTTTAAATTTGTTCCATGTGGTTCCTAAATTTTAGCCCAATGTGCAATATCGTTTTCGAACTTTTAATTTGTTCAATGTGGTTTCTACACTTTTGGTACATGTTAGTTGTTCTTCCATTAATTCAAGTTCAGGGACAACATTGAACATTTTCATGTAGTCCAGGGACTCGATTGAACATATACCGAACGTTCAGGAATTACATTGAACAAATTAAAAGTTCAGGGATGGCATTGCACATTAGGCTGAAGTTCAAGAGCCACATTGAGCAAATTAAAAGTTCAGGGATCATAATACATAATTGGCCAAAGTTCATATATCATTTATGTTCCTTTTTCCTTTCAAATTATAACACGACTATTCGATTAAAATAATGCGTTTTTACTCTTGGGGGGATGAGCCATGTGAGATGCCTAAAGAAGTGATTCTCACGTGCAGCGCACGTGACAGACTCCCTCATGTTCCCGTGGGGACTCGTGCTTTTCGAGCCCGCCATTTTGCAGAGAGAGAGGCGGGTAACGATTTCCTTTTGGCGGCTTTCGAAAATTCAAAAGAATCGGTGAATCTTGGCTTCCCAAGCACACTGAAATCCCAGGTTGCAGATGTTCATTCTCATCATCTTTCGCGGCTTCATCTGCTGAGCCCATCTTCCCTCTCTGTCTCTGTCTCTCGCTCTCGCGCTCGCTCGCTCGCTCGCGGGTCGCAGTTTTCTGAGTTGGGTTATGGCGGACCCGATCCCGAGTCAGCTGGAAATGATGGGCAGGGAGCTCAAGTGTCCCATCTGGTGAATCTTCCATACCCATTTGAAAAAGAAGAGAGCTTGTCCCCGTTTTTGCCTAGTAGCGATGCTTCTGATGGTCCTGTTCTGTTCGTTTTGGTTTCGAAACCGATAGGATTGATCGGACTCGGGACGGATTGATTCGTTATATTTTTGTCGGGCTTCGTTCGTATGTGCTTGGCGAGTTTGTCGCATTTGAATTTGAATCAGTGGTGGATAAACTCTTTACTTCTTGCTGTTCGGTGATTGGGTTTGTCTATTGGAGCGGACCCGATCCCGAGTCAGCTGGAAATGATGGGCAGGGAGCTCAAGTTTCCTATCTGGTGAATCTTCCATACCCATTTGAAAAAGAAGAGAGCTTGTCCCCGTTTTTGCCTAGTAGCGATGCTTCTGATAGTCCTGTTCTGTTCGTTTTGGTTTCGAAACCGATAGGATTGATCGGACTCGGGACGGATTGATTCCTTATATTTTTTGTCGGGCTTCGTTCGTATGTGCTTGGCGAGTTTGTCGCATTTGAATTTGAATCAATGGTGGATAAACTCTTTACTTCTTGCTGTTCGGTGATTGGGTTTGTCTATTGGAGCGGACCCGATCCCGAGTCAGCTGGAAATGATGGGCAGGGAGCTCAAGTTTCCTATCTGGTGAATCTTCCATACCCATTTGAAAAAGCAGAGAGCTTGTCCCCGTTTTTGCTCAGTAGCATGCTTCTGATGGTCCTGTTCTGTTCGTTTTGGTTCGATATCGATAGGATTGATCGGACTCGAGGCGGATTGATTTCTTGTTTGTTTTCTTTTTATTGGGCTTGTTTGTATTCATTTAGCGAGTTTCGTCGCA